TGCATCTGAGATTAAGTTACCGAACTAACGGTTCATAGAAAAGCCGATCAATCGCATTTTATCTCTCTCGTCGACCTTCTTTTGCACCGGCACGACACGACGCGATGCGCACAAGCTTTCATCGTATCTTCGCATGAATGCCTTAAGTTCGTCCGTGGAGAAATCGCATCCCGGTTGTCCCCTTTGTTGTCTAAGGAAAACGCAATGCGGCCCGATATCCGATCGCGAGAGAGAGAACAGCATCTATTTCTTCTCATCCTATATTTTTCCTGACGGACAACTCTGTCGTTGTTCGGCATCCGCTATTGTTATTATTATTATTATTTCTATTTTTATTTTTATTTCCTGCAGTTCAAGTATTCAATATTTTACGCATAAAATTATATGAAAAATTGAAACAGAGAGAGAGAGAAAGAGAAAGATTATTTTACAATAAATATATTTTGACAGCGTAAAAATTGACGTAGTGGACGTGACATAGAAACGGAGATCCGTTTATTATTTTGCATTTGCGCTGACAAGCGTGTGCGGCCGGGCTGTCAGCGCGTATTTGCATGGAAACGTATTTACGATGTTCGACGGATGCGAAATCGGTCGAAACTGTATCCCGATACATAGTCTTAGAGACCTAATTACACGTGTGACGATCAACACGGCCGCTGTAACAGCGCGATTACGGGAGAATATGGTAGGTACGTGCTGGAGCCAAGATAGCAGACGCTCGTGAATCTATCGACAGGTCAGGCACGATGAATATCGGCATCCAATAATTGACCGGCGCCGCTGTTCGCCCCAAAGTGACAAAAGAAAGAAACCGAGCTTGTGTACGTAATTCACTCGGGAGTTTTCGATCGAGCGGACACTCTCTTCCCTCGTTGCTCGATAATGACAAAGTTGCCATTAATCAAACAAACCGATGAGAGAGCGTATCTTCGACGAGAAATTAAAAAACAAATATGCGAATGATATTGTACAACGAGATATTTGGCCTAACAATTGATGAGGGAGGTTCACAACGTGCAAATTTTATAACAACACTCTTTTACATTCTCGACAGCACGCGCTATCGCGATAAGTTTGTAAATTTTTCGGACAACGTTTTTCGGCACGCTACAGTGGAGCTTTATCGTGCAATTAACATATAGTTCGCGATGCAGTTTTCCAATTTGACTGGCAAAAAAGTTGTTCGGCGAGACTCGGCGTGAAAATGCCGCTTCAAGTCCGCGCAATTTACATCGTAATTTAGCGACCGCGGCGTGACGGTACATTCATCATTTGGTCCGCGGCTAAATCATTTTGTTACCGAAGTAGCGCTTTGCCTGTATTTGGAACCGTTGAACACAAACGTCTGCATTCAGAATGTGTCTGCAGATTGTTCTATGAATTTTACACCGCAAAGAGAACGCGTTTGATACACTCCGCCATAATTATAAAATACAAATTATTTGCGCTTGCGTGTCTCAATGTTTACGTTTTTTTGTATATGTTCGTTGTGTAGAGAAAAATCTCACACGCGTTGTGAGTGCATGATGCAAAAATTAAACCCGTAAAGCACACGTTGTACATAATTAATTATTTTGTTTATAAAAGATATCTTGACAATTATTTTATGCTCGCGTGTAATTTTATTATTAACGCTGCGCGTTTATTTTGTCGAATTAAACATTTTGTTATATTTTTTACTCACTGTGCGTTAAAAAGCAACGTAATTGTATATTTCGCATTTTTGACTTAATAAAAAGCTTCTGTACACTTCTTCCGTGTTTACGTATAATCATTTCCGTTTCTTCACAAATATAACTACGTAAAAATATGATACGGAACAATGACGTTCCGCAGTCGACGCTTAAAAAAAAAAAAAAAAAAAACATGACAGGAAAAACAAAATGAAAAATTATATTGATTATCAAGGCGAATCCGGACGGAGAGGACTTTATGCGGCTTATGAGAGTTCCTCTCTCTCTCTCTCTCTCGGCGAGCTTAGCGTTGGCTGTATGATGAAGTGAGCGACCGGGAAACTTTCCGACCACACAGGAGAGGAGGCCTCATCACCCAGGAGGCGGTGTCCGTGCACGCATCGCGCGGTTAACTCGCGAGACCTCGAAATAAATTGACCGACGTCGCCAATGGTGGTTGTTTATTTTCGAAATTAAATTGAATTGGCCCATAACTTGCCGGTCTATTAGCCCTGGGGACCAGACTAGTTTGCTCGTAAATCTCCGGAGTATCGGACCGGTGGCACCGTACGTATATACACAGAACGCCGCGAGCCGATGTGTGCGCGTTCGCGGCGGCTCGAACCGCAGGGATGTTGCGCGAGGAGGAGAGGGTGCATTCGATTCGCGCCCTCGACAATGCGTCCGGAAGCTCCCAGGAAATACATGGGCGTGGTGCCGAGATAAATGTACTCTCTCGCATTTGCATACTTCTCGCTCTCACGCGGTTTCTATACCTCTATCTTCCCGGTCGGTGCAACATGGTCGGGTGTTCGATTCAGATTCTATCTGCACTTGTCTGCACCTTCTGCTTTTCCGCCTTCTTCTTGCCATCTCTTCTTCCTCCCTCCGTCTGTCTTTTCCTCTATCCGTGTGTCTTTGTCGATCGTAAAATCGGACAGAGCCGTCCGGAAGTGAGAAAAGGGAACGAATATGAGATACGTTTAAAGCATCGATCGTCCGTTTTACAGCGAACGAGAGAGGAAATGATGTCAGTTAATCTGTGAAACTTGATCACTCCGGTGTAAAAAAGAAAAAAAAAGAAGAGCAAACGGTTGTTTTTCGAAATAATAATAATATTTTATTTAATTATTCAAAAACAATTCCATACTTTTTTCCAATCGATCGAAATAGTTTGGGCGAACGATCGCAAGATGACGGTCAGTGCAGAGGTAGTGAGAGGTGCCTATTCCGCGAGACAAATGTGAACCGATGCGATAAACTACCATAGTATTCCCGCGGGATATCCCTTTCGGGGGGATACACGGACGGAAGGGTGGATTTATTCATCCTGCTTGACTACTCGCTTGATTATTGAAACGAATCGAGTAGTTTCTGTCGTACACTAACGCGCGAGTGTATCTGCCCGCAAAATACTCAATGTCGATACGTTATTCCAAATGATTTATTGGTATCTTAAATAAATTGTAATTTATCCTTTTGCGCGCTGCTTCTCTATCCAGCCGGTTTCAACAATAATTTCGAAGCCTCGTATACATGTAACGATAACAAACGAACAAAGCACATTCATACCGAATATCTACGATAATTAATTTGCCAGTGATTAATCGCGGATCTTTGTGAGTCTAACAACGGTAGTTACTTTAATGTGTTTATAAAGCATTTCTATTCAATATTAAATACACACACACACATCGCACTGTTTCCTTTTCATTAAACACAATCTCGATTACAGATGCTGATTACGTTTTGGTTCTAATCTCGCTGGATTAATTCTTGGAATTTATTTGAACTCGCGTCTTTCGCGGACCAAAATCACTTGAACGTGAAAATATATTATCTCCCGAAGAATTATCGCGGGGGAATGTAAAGTTTACTAAGTACGATTACATTACCATTTGCGATACCTCGCTTAAGTGCTACTTATACGATTGATATTGGCCAATCGACGAGGGAAATAGCGTAGCTTCTAATTTATGCGAAGCAACAGGAAAGCGAGAAAGGACTGTTTTTTTTTTTTAGGGAGAATTATTTTCTTACAACGATAATCTCGTCCTCGCGATACATCGACGCTAGACAATCGAGAAACTCGGCCGAGGAGACACGACGCTTCGTTCAAACTCGTAACTGCAGTCCGATTAAAGTGTTCCAGCACGTTTCGTAGTTTCGTCCCAGCTTGCGCCTGTCCTTTTGCCCCGATTTTCTTTAATCCCATCATCTTCTATTTCTTCTTGTGTTTTTCGGCCTTTTTCTACTTCTCTCTTTCTCTCTCTCTCTCTCTTCACACATATCTTGCTTGTTTTTCTTCGATATCACAACTACTGGACGAGTTCGACGCCGACGATTGTTACACGCTCCGAACGGCGGAGGCGGCCCTCCGGAAAGTTTCGCGCTCTACGCGATGTACACGGTGTCGCATTCTTTGGTCTTAACGATCAAACTTACCCTCGGGCAACAGTTCGACAACTATGCGAAAGACGAGACGCGAGCACCAACGTTGGCGATCGGCGGATTCTCGAACTGTTCTAACGGCTTTGTTCGCTCGCAGCGATCGACATAACGTTTTCCACCGTTAGAATGTTTGACCCGTTGTACGATCACAAGATAACGGAGCTTGATATTTACGATTGTTTTGAGACTATCAATGTTTTTGATCGGCGAAAATTATGTAATTTCTAGAATTATATTGTACTTGCGACTTTATTACAATGTTTGTTTTATACACTGTATCTACGTATATTTTTCACGAAACTAAGTCTCTATGACAATTGATTGATGTAATTTCAATCTTGGAACGAGAATATCCGAGACAAATCCTTGGCGCATTTATTGCATCCTTAACAAATTTAGCTTCAATTATGCAACGCACGTTTATCTTTAATATGTATTTACTTTATGTCAGAAGATTCTCTTACGATCTAGATCGGTGCTTGTCACATGCGTGAGCGAAGGCTGTGACATTGCTGCGATTTCACCGCGCGTCTGGCGATACTCTGCCTTCTTTGCCATTCAATGCTGGATCTCAAGGACAACGCTGGTTGGATGTGAGATCTAATAATATACATGTGTTAACACAGCGCACACGTGCAACGTTGAATCTGGCTGACATCATTCTTGGGATCAAGCGCTGGGGGGAAGCCGAACAGTGGGAGAACCGTCGAATCGTCGCGCTTGGTGGGGACTGGATTTTCGACCTGGCGACTGGATCTTCTCGGACCCGAGCAATCAAACATTGCCTTCACTTGAATGATGACAAGCACTAAGCTAGACCTTGGACATAAAGTAGTTATTACATAAGCTCAAAAAGAATGTGCACGTTTCCGCCTCGTGTTAGCTGCGTGTTTTATTGATTAATTTTCGGTATATTGTCAAGAATAATACAAGTGTGTACACATAATATATTATATAAAATAAAGTAACATATAACACTCAGTTATATAATACCATCAGTGAATCATCAGGTTTACATTAGTTGTCTGTGAACTAAATATTTTATTATTAATTTTAGGTTTATAGAAAATAATATTTTTACTCACCAAAAATTAGTATAATTAAAAACTTTTATTAGAATACAAGTAAAGTAAAATTTAACTTTTGCATTGCTTTATAACATATTTCCTCAAACTTTCAACAGATTGCCAGCAGAAATATAAAAACGACAGACTCTGTCGCAATCTTCTTCCATTTTGCGCTGTGCACATCTTGCTTGTTAATCTATAGCGATCAGTCTGCTATCAAGATTTTGTCTCAGCAGATTCTGTCCACAAAACATGATCCTACATGTAGACACAGAGAACACTAGCTTTGATACCGAGTTCCGATCAAAATTGTTGCCAGTCTGTTGACATATTGTTATACCAGTTTGCTTAACTGTGATAACTATGTATAGTTACTTGATGTAAATATCATAAATTACATACCTTCCCGAATGAAATCACACTGTTATAAAAGGTGTTCTACACAACCAATATTCACCAGATGTAACAACATATCAGCAAGTACTTTGGACATTGTGTCTTCGCCGGCCTTTTTCATTAGTTTTGAAAAATATTCTGACCCCTTTGTTTCAAGTTCTGAAATTGCTTCTATCTCAACATAACCAAATAGTACCGGTAAAAAGAAGGATGCGATACAAAATCCAAGAAGACCGTTTCTCTTGTAATCGTTTAACAAAGCATCGTAGGAATATTTCTCTATATCTTTTATGTTATTTTCTAGTAGATATTCCTTCAGTGTTTCGTGATAAACTCGCATGATGTTCAAAAACACATCCTTTCTCGTTTGTTTCGGGCAACAGATACAAAAATACGTGGAAAGATCAATGGCGGGCGTTCCGTATCTCATAAGCGCGAAGTCGATCAACATCGCTCGATATTGTCCGTTAGCTTCGGTCTTAAAGAGAGCGTTGGTCATTGTAAAGTCGCCGTGACATATCGTGGACAAAGATTCCACCGGTTTTACTATCTTCATCAATATTTCGTCATACGCGTTTGAGAGCAAGACTTCCATTTTGTCACAAAAGACCGTATCATAGCCGTGACGGCGAAGATACTCCACCGATCGCGTCGCATTTGTATTAATCATGATTTTCGAATGAGTGTTTTCATTCTTATATCTTGATTCTTGCAAATTCTTAACTATGTCAAAAAACTTATCTCGCTCCATTTCTTTCATGACATATCCTTTACCATGAAATCGAGCCATCTCGCGCACCGCTGCAAACGTATATTCCAGAGGTGCGTCGTATTTATAGGAACACGGATAATATCCTCGATCAGTAACATTCTCCAGCGCGATTACCGAATCTTCCAACGGTTTTTCGAGAAGACAATAAGGTTTTGGAAAATTCTCGTTTGGTTTGGCGTACATGCGATAAAATAAAATCTCGTTGTGTAACTGATCTTCGATTTGAAAGTATTTTCTGGCAACCTCTGTCTGCATTGGCTTCTTCAATACCATAGCAATTTCCTCGTTCCGTCCGTTCGTTTTGTTCGTAAACTTTACACGCATGAAATACGTAATAGACATGATAGCTGACGTCGGGGTTACGGATATTTCGTATTGAACTTTATCGACATCTGGTCCCAGATTTTCGATGATCTTTGACATGCTTTTGTCGATCCATTTTTGATCGTCACTGCTTATCATTTTGTCAAACACCGAATTGTAATCGCCTTGCGCACTGAGATTTTTTAGTGATATGAAATTAAACGCGCGAGTAAACTACTTGTCTCGATAATGACTGAAGCGCAACTGTGCGAGAAGTTTGCTTTAAGTAGATAACTGGTTTCCACGTGCAGGAGCCACACATGTACGAGACGTGTGTAAATGTATATATGTACGTATATCGTATATCATCACGCAACATTGTGCACACTGTTCCGTGAAGATCAAGGTTAGTACACACTAAAAAGTATAAGATAGGCAACAAACCTGAGAATAGGAAAATCATGATAGGAATAGCGACAAGAATTTCACAAAGTCATTATTCGTAGGAATTGAATCTTTATGTATTTTAAGATTATCTTAATTTTGTCTCTAAATGTAATGAGACGAGATTTATACATCATCTTAAGATAAACTTGGTAGATTTTTAATAGATTTTTTTAATAGAATTATAATATCACTCCAACATACGAAAACGTATGTATGTCGATACACAGTATTAGCACTGACAATACTTTTTTATCTCAATTATCCATCACTGTTTTTTTCATTGCTTACTTTTTATTGTGTAATGACCTTTATTGGCGCTGAGTAACTATGTATCACACAGTATGAGAAACAAGTAACACTATAGAGAGAGAATATATCTTGCGTAAAATGAGAGAGTAACAGAAAATTTAAAACGATATCGCTTAAACAGCAATAAACATAGTATTATTTATAAAAATTTATTTATCGCGCGCATGCAATATAATATTGGTGCTATAAGATTATATGCGTACAATATTTTAATGTTTGATATAAAATGTCTGATAACAGTATCACATCTCATGATAAAACGGTTTGTACTTTGAGTCGAAGGTTTTCACTAAATTGCTAACTTTACAATAATATATATATCCATATGTATATTACACACGTATATTACACATGTATATTACACACGTCACTTTAAAGTAAGAAACGAATTTTTTTCTCACATTTTTTACTTCTCGGTGCATTAAACGGTTCATCTTCGCAAAATCTTTCTTCGGTCTGACATTCGCGGATAGTTGTAAAAAAACGAGGTCACGAAAGACGCTTTCGCGAACAATACCATCAGACGTGACTACTCGAAGGTAGGTAAAAGAAAGTGGAATGAAATACGGAATCGTGCGAAGAGTAACAAATGACTAAGAAAACTGCCAGACTCAATCTAAAAGGACAGGTGGAAGAACCTTTTCTTAGTTCGTAATACGGGATTAACGAAAAGCTTAATGGGAACGTGACAAACACATGTATTGTGCGCAAAGAGAATTTTATCAAAAAAAGTTTTAATATTATTTTAATATATCAAAGAAACATGTATTTATAACCTAAATAATATATAGTTATATATATAATCGATATATTATATTAATATTTTATTATACAACGTATTTTATTACAAAAAGTTTTGATAAAATAAAGTATATTTACTCGGTGTAATATTACGCAATTGTGTTATGTTTCACACTTTGTATTATGGCGCTTATTTTACACACACACACACGACATAGTATATTATTATATTAAATATTTATTATATTATCAGTGTTTCTTTTTACACAATACTGCTGTACAAATGACATTGCAACATTTTTGTTTATACACACAATGATTCAGAGATCTGTTTACAACAAAACTACACATTTACACATTTTTCTTCTTTATTAATCTTTCTTATCAAGTTAAAGATAAAGTTGAAGATAAAGTTTATTACTTTTTTAATATAAGTTTATTACTTTCTTAAATTATCTTGTTTTTGACAAGATTATTAAACTAAGTAAAAAAAAGAAATATTCTTATAAATAATCTTCTAAACAGCCCAGATCCTTTAAATGTAACAACATATCAGCCAATATCTTGGATACTTTGTCTCCGCCCAAGTTCTTTTGCATCATCGCGTTCTCCTCTGTTGATAAAGTTGTCATATCGAAATCACGATATCCCATGAGTACCGCTAAATAAAAGGATGCGATAGAGTAACCCAAAATAGCGCCTCTTCTGAAGTCGTGCAACAACGCGTCGTACGAATACTTTTCGATGTCCCGAATACCAGCGTCCAGTAGATATTCTTTCAGCGCGTCAAAGTAGGCTCGCATAATTTCGTGGAACTTGTCTTTTCGCACTTCATTCGAACAATTGAGAAAGAGATATGTAGAGATGTCGATGACAGGTGGCCCGTATCTTAAACTCGCAAAATCGATCAGCATCACTCGATGTTGTCCATCATCTTCCATTTTGAAGAGCATGTTGGCTAATGTAAAGTCACCGTGACAGAACGTGGACAGAGGTTCCAGCGGTTGTACTAATTTCACCAACACGTCGTACAAGTTGGAAAGTACAGGTTCCATTTTATCGCAGAAGACCACATCATAACCATGATCACGAAGATATTCCACCGCTCGCGTCGAGTTTACATCGACATTAATTCTGAAACCACTTGTAGCATTCTCAAAATATCTAATTTCTTCAATTTGCTTTACGATATCGTTGAATTTATCACGTTGTTGCTCTTTCATGACGTATCCTTTGCCATGGAATCGTCCTAACTCACGCATCGCCGCCAATGTATACTCCAGAGGTGCGTAATATTTGTACGAACACGGATAATAACCTCGTTTATTAACGTTCTCCAGCGCTATCACCGAATCGTTGGGTGGTCGTTCGTCGAAGTAGAAACATTTTGGAAAATTATCGTTCGGTTGGGCGTACATACGGTAGAATAGAATCTCGTTGTGGAACTGAGAAGATAAGTTAAGATCATTGTAAAAAATTTCATTTAAACAACATGAAAAAGATCTCTTCAGTATCATCGAAAGTTCTTCGTTTTTATCCTTTATCGTGTTCTTAAATTTCACGCATACGTGATACTGAGAAGACATGACAAAGTTGTTAGATGTAGACAGCTCGTATCGAGCTTCGTTCAGTCCAAGGTTTTCAATGATCTTTGACATCACTTCTTTAATCCATGTTTGACAATCGTCGTCGTTAGACATTTTTATTCACTTTACGATGTATGACTTGGTATTTTTGAATGATTGTGTTATTTACTTGAGAATATAAATTTCGTCGTAATTGCAACACTAAACGTTACTGTAGCTCTAGTTTTCAGAGACTGATGAAAACAAAACGAAATTGTGATAAGAGCCTTTGTGCGTGTGATAATCTTATCATCATGAATATTTGAAAAAGAGGAGTTGTGTTGGGTAATCATGTATCACAAGATACATAATCTTATCATTTTGCGACATAATACGTAAACTTTACTTTTAATTACGTTACAAAACTATTCATACAGAATCAAATACAACTATATATTATATATATACATGTAACTTTACTTTTAATTATGTCGCAAAAAAAAATATATATATATATACACTATATAATATAATATAGTTGTATTTGATTCTGTATAACTAGTTTTGCAACATAATTAAAAGTAAAGTTACATATTATGTTGCAAAATGATTACATGCCGTTATTTGTGCTGATAAGGTTATCTTGTGATAAACAACACAACTCCTTTTTTCACATACTCATGATGATAAGACTGAGACATTGTTGCACATAAAGTCTCTTGTAACAATTTCGTCATATATATAGTTTATCGGAGATAACTTGTAGCTGTTATCTATTATTGTAAAGTTCATTTCAGTTAATATATCTTTTCTGTACTATCTCTATTTTCTATCTATTATAGTTAACAGGTTAAACTTAGAACAGCTTTCTAGCTGCTGTTTCGCTCTTTAAAGAGCACTTTGTAATTAACTTACAAGTCTTTATATTATTTGTAATAATTTTATTCTCTTTAATAAAGATATTATTATTATTGTTGTTGTTGTTGTTGTTGTTATATATATATATAGAAAGAGAGAGAAAGAGAGAGAGTTTCTTTAGTAGTTTGAACGCGCACGTGGTTAAGATAGAAGATAGACTATTTAAAACGTATTATTATAGGAAATAACACGCTTCTCGCGCAATATGTTATAATTACCACTTACAGGCATTTGTTTTGCAGATCTAACAAAATTTTACCTTAATTTTAACGCAGCAAAATGAATACAATTTTATAGAGAAAATTGACGTTTTTTTCAGTCAGGTAAAGTGCATCCCAAGAGTGTCGAGCCGCTGTTAAGCGGAAATAGCATTTGCGTTTTTTCATCTGGACGAGAGAATATTCTGTGCTATTTCTTTCAAGAGAGAAATTTTGTAAATTGCGGTTGATGTGTTAAATATCTACTGAATATACTATGTGAGTGTATATTCTTTTACTCTGTCGATTATATAAAAACTGAATCTCAAGAAAATCTTGCAAAATAATTGAACTTTAAAAGTCAAATAATCGATATTTGGTTAGGTTTTTGCGCTACATATACAGTAATTTTTTTTTAATAACAAGTACTATAATAATAATAATAATAATAATAATAATAATAATAATAATAATAATAATAATAATAAACTGAATAAATGTAAACGTTAAAAGTGTATAGAGATATCAAATGTTATTGCGAATTAAACTCGAAATACCACATCACGTACAGGCACGTTTGAACCTATGCGGTGAGGCGTATCGAAATTTTCTCTCAATAATGCATTTTTGACCACAAATTTATTTCGGCGCGCGATAAAAGCGCATTAAAGCCCTATAACTCCAAAAATGCTCGGTGCCCTCATTCCTCGCTGCGAAAGCACGAAAGCTCTATTCTGAACCAGCCGACCAACTCGCTACATTCCTCCCGGCTGAGTTAGGCACGTTTTCGGGTCGGATGACGGAAAAACGTCTCCCGTGACTTTGCCAGGTAAAGGGATTTTGCATAATCACCGGTGACGTTGCATTTAAGTGGCTTGCTCGGTAAGCGGCGAGGAGAAGCTACTCGAGCACTATATCTAAATAGCGTATTGCGCGACAGTTTTAACGAGAAAGAACTTCGGTCTAGTGCCAGTAGAAAGTTTCGGCGTTATGCAACACTTTTTAAATTTTTGATGCGCTCTGTCTCGCACTTTTGCACCGAGGATTTTACATCTGTGAAAATTCGTGCTCGTACAATTCGTTTATAAATACCTATCTGCAGAACATTTGCGCGAACGGAGACAAAGTTCTTTTCCACGTGACTCTTTGTATTTACATTTTAATATAAAATATCTTATATCTAATTGATAATATCAATTTGATCTCTTTCAATTCTTTGACGTACAATTCAATTAAAAATATTTTTCTGTATTATTCAATTTTTTTTCACCGATTATGCAGCAGCCACGAAGAAAAGCTACACGTATATAAGTTTGCTTTATGTAATTTTAATATTTTTGAAATTTCAAATAAGCAGTAAGTTATTATACATAATTCTCTTTTAATTTATTATTAGAGCGGTAAGAATTGGAAATTATTAAAATTACGTGTCTCTTTCTGAAACACGTCGAATTTAAGGCAGCTAAGTTAAATATTTGACGTACAAATGAATGCTTAGTTGGTTCGTATTTCTGTGTAACACATATCAAATAATGATACATGTTATAATTACACAGAGTACGTTATTACTTAATTGGTAAGCTATCAAGGTGAACAACTTGAGAATTATCTTAGTTCGTAATTACAAATAAAAGCGATAAGCGAGTCGGACTGTCGCGTCGCGTCGTAGAGAATCATTTTATTTGGATATTTGTGTGTATGAAGTTTTAAAAATATATCTATATATGTATAAGTTATCATTAAAAAGATGCTTATAGCGATAAATCGTATCGTATTTTTTCGTTTCATTTGTTCAACAACGATGATTTGTTTCGCAATGTTTCTCAATTGTTAGAGCCGCTGTTTCTAGACGGAAATATATAATTACTGCAAGTCGGATCAAAGAAGAGGTGGGAAGAGAGCGAAGGAGAAAAAGAGAGAGATAGAGAGAGAGAAAGAGCGAGAGAGCGAGAGAGCGAGACGCGATATTGGTGCGTTCTTTTGCCGAGGTGCACAATTCTCTGTCGAAAATTTCACAAAACATAACAATGACTGGCGTTAAGGAGAGGACTGCCGCTACGCGGGACGAATCGAGTCAGATTAAATTTCCATTGCAAATTTCATTCAACGGACTACCTCGTACTTTACTCACGCTCCCTTTTCTCTCTCGCGCTTCAACTTCCTCCGGGCGCTTTCCCGTTCCCGTCGACAACGTGTCGACGCGGCATCGTACCTCGACAAGATGAACGACGCGGCTGGTATTTACGCTAGGAACGATGAAGCGTTTGTGGGATAAGCGCCCGAGACCCCGGGTGTATATCTAAGCGTCGTTATCCGCTTTCTTTGTCGAAGATTATCGTCCTGCGCGAGGCTGTCACCATCCGCCCACGAAGTAGATAACTGTTCCGGAGCTACACCGCAACCGACGTTCGCGTCTACGGTACGACCGTGAACATGATAACGGGGGATACAACGCCGGTGAGAGGGAATACATGTAACAAAGTGGAGCTACGACTAACATCGTCGAGTACAGATTTTCCGAGGATTTCGTTGTCGCGCGTCTCACAAATATCCGCCAGTGTCTTCTTGGCGATACGCGCGCTTTCTTGCAACTCCCGTGGCTTGAACGATAACGAGAACTTGCTGCGCGTCTGCCTAAGCGCGCTCGTTAGACTAATGAGCTCTCAAAAATATGCGCTTTCTTGCGTTCTTTCGTGAAGTTCGCGTTATCGAGAATGAAGAACTTAATGACGCGTTTAAAGACGATCTTCGTTTTATTCGGACACGGTCTGTCACCGGTAATGTTCTTGTTAATAAGCGATAACAAAAATTACCATTTTCTACAGCTAGTTACATTATATGAACTTTCGCATTGTGCCAAAAATTGGATATGGAACATTTTAAATTCTTTAAATAACGATATCACGAAATAATTAGGGATAAAAATCAATTTTTAATATTTTTTAAATTAAATTTTATTGTTATATTCATTTTCAGCGTATTAATAAATTTAATAAAAATTAACTATAATTATGATCGCGGCATTTTCGCTGTTAATTGATTGGTAATTATAAAGATGAATTATAATGATGAAGTAAATAATACGAGGATTTACATCATCAAATGATATTATAAATAATTGAATTTTTTACTTCAAGTTTTAATCGCGGCGCTCTCGCTCGTGATACTATCTCATTCACTTACAGAGCACGACTATTATCTTTCACGTTGACATTTTTTTTTTTCCAACCCATTGTGTATCACATAAATCGTCGGGACGTGCTTCGTTACACTCTTAGCGGGAATTCCGCGCAAGGCAACTGTGTGACGTGCGATAAATCGACGACGTTTAGATCGCAACCGGTGGATTGCGTTGCAACATTTGTTCCGATTTTCCTAACGTCGAAGGTGTTCTCTTCGTTACGTTCTCGTCGTGAAATTCGCCGACGTTGGTGTACAGGAATCGCGATCAGACGCGCCGCGCTTCGTATTGTTCCGCGCGTAACAAATGCCAGCCAATCGTGCGTCTCTCGAAAGTGAAAATTAATCCGATCGGCCGTGCGGGAAATCAATTCCATAATAAATCTCTCCTAGGCGGATCGTAAATAATATCCGCTCCGTGCTGTGCGAGATAGCGCGCAACGGCGCGACAAAGAAATATGACGGTCAAGCTTATTTATCGGCGAAATCCCGAACGGCACGTATCCAGCTCGAGGTTTCCGCCCCCAGCCAGCGAAACTCCTTCGCAGCCAAAAGTTTAACATGTTACATCGTCGCGAAAGCTTCAGATGCGCGCACGAGTCTTTGCACTTTGACTCGCGAAGCAATGATGAACTTTCCAACTTGATTTTCTTGGAACACACCTCTGCGGCACGTGGACGCTCTATGTATTCCTCATCAATCATTCTATTTTATCCGAGAAAATAAAAGAGATATAGGTGATGTATATATATATATATAAATGTTTCCAAAGTTTCAGAGGTATATAGTGCATCTATTTCCCCATTTTTACGTAAAAGTTAAAGAAATTAAAGAGTTACGAAAAATGTTTGGATATATTCGAAATGAAGAGAAAAAGTTCTCTCTCACTGATTTGAATAAAGCACCGAAATGAAAGATTAAAATATTCATTTTTTTTTATCGACAATATTCCAATGTTACATGCTGATTTAGTGATAATATTAGGTGTGTGAAAAAATGTAGGATTTTTTTTCAACGAGTTCAATTTTGCACGTTATATGAAGATAAAAAAAAAAAAAAAAAAAAGAACTGACAAGCGAAATTATTTCATCTATAGTTTTTTTTTTAAAGAGATTTCTTGAACGTAGAGATATGAAATATAAAAAAAACCGTTAATGTCAAAGAAATTAATGGAGAAGGGCGCGAGTAATTGCAACACGCTAAACGAGTTTGCATTGTTGTCACGTAAACATTTGTATAGAGAGATTTATTCTTTTACTACACATATATATACAATAAAACAACACCACAACGTCCCCCGTTGCACGTTATTTATTACATCACGCTATTCCTCTCAGTAATTCCCGCGACGTTTGATTTAAAGTAACAACCATTCACGGCGACATTTATTTTCCATTAGGACGCGTCTTACCGAGAACAATATAAAATCGTTTACCGCAGGTAAACCAACGCAGGCGAAAATGAAATATACTTCCTCGTTGTCGTGACGAATCTTACCCCGTTGGCAATTATTCCGCTCCCGTGGCGAAACGTTAGAGAATACCGCGTGTCTGACGTGCTATGTACAATTTCTTGTCGATCAATTGGCAACGTCGAACCATCAACGTGGCTCCGTAATCTCGGACTCGCCAATAATGACTAAACTTTGACGGCGCGCTCCTTGTAACGTAACCCCGACCTGATGCACCCGTTGGAATTGCATTGCGGCAGGGAAACCGCTAATGCCGAGACCAATTTACTCGAAGAGAGAGAGAGAGAATTTAGGGTAGGTCTAAGCTTTTGCACGAGCTTACTTACTGTTCGTGTCAGTATTGAGCCAAGTTTCTTGCTCGAAGGTTGAACTTAATGTTGTATCTCTATACTTTGTTAACTTATTAATCTCAATTAGCGTAATTGAATAACATCGTCTGCTCGAGATAGCAACTCGCTTTTCGAAGCGAAGTGAACATATTGATTTACAATTGCAAAAGAGAAAGAGAGAGAGAGAGAGAGAGAAATAATTGATCGGGGAACTGTTGGAACATCTTTGCGTAAGTTCCGCGAGAACGCGCTCGAAGTAGAACTCTATGTTCTCGCTTGAAGCAAGGACCAAGTGAGAGATGTTACCGCCAATCTATCTACGAGGCGTTTAAGCAAAAGTTGTGAATTTGAATTTTAAAACAGCAGAGACAGCGCGCTGTGTTTCTGCTTCCGACCTCTCAAGAGCGGTTTTCAGGATAGATTGAAAGATAACTCCATGGTACTCTATTTCTCTTCTTCTTCTTGTCTAACCTTTACCAGCGCAACATCTCGTGTCTCTGATATTCTCCGCACCTCTCTTCTTCTATTCCAACCGTGTCTCTTTATCCTTTCCAACCTTCCATCGTCGCAGATATTTTACGAGGTGGCTTCGACTCGCGGCAGCCCGTAAAATCTCAAAATTTAGGACAGAATCTCGTAGGTTACAAGGACGCGATACCGCTCGACTCGTCCGCTACGTTCGTTCGCTCGAGTTTACGTACGTACATACATATGTTCTTCGCGAAATGCTAAATCATACAACAGCCTCCGCGTTTTCGTTCGGGGTTTATACGAGCGATCACATGGCAGAAACCGGGTCGAAACGCGTCTCGACCTGAAACCTTCCGGCAATGCGCGGCAATTCGTAATCCGCGAGGGAATTGCTGATGCGCGCATTCCGCGGCTCATCAGCCATAACCTGATATTATCCGGAGCTGCGAGATTTAATGGACCGTGCGTCGAGTGAGATAAACACGCGCATTACAAGTGTCGTGAATTAAACTTGTGTTGCGTGCGTTCGTTGTCGTTTCGCGAAGAGATAGCGCGCAACGGTTCGGGCGCGATAATTTCTCATTTCGACCGACGTCGACGAACGCGAGACGAGTCGCCGCGAATAGCAACGGTGTGAGTCGAAAGAACAAAAGGCGAGGGAGCGAGAAAACGAACGATAGGAGCGGCCGTTCGATATCACATGCTCAACCGTTGCAATTTTTCATTCTCGCGTTTTTTATCTTTTTTTCTTTACTTTTATATTTTTTAATCCGCAATGTTTATAAAACAACCGAGTGAGAAAAAAAAGAAAGATGAAAAGAGAGAGAAAGAAAAAGAGAAATAATTTATGTTGTTGCAAAGAATGCGCGTAAGATTGTGCTTGCTGATGTAATTGTGCCATTCTCAGAGTAGCGCAATTGGGAAATGAGATTCCAGTTGGGGGAAAAGTAGGTCGCATTATAAAATGACACGAGACTTATCATATCCATCTTTAAACTAAGAGAGAGAGTTCCTATCCTAAATTAGGTTCAAAGCGAGATGATGGTTAATGAGTGTATAAACGAACAAGAGGGAAGGAAATTGAGGAAACGGGACAGATTGCGAAGTCTCGAAAAGCCGGTCAATGGCGTCGGGTCATAATTAAATTAGCGCGAGCTCATTGTACGAGTATGTCGGCTCTTGTAACCTCCTTTTGCGCTAAACTTGGCCGATTTCGACGGTCGTACGTGTGACAGCTTTGAATTTCTTGTCGCCAAATAAGACAAAGCTGTCGAAACTGTTCTTCTCCTTGTTTGTGCATACACGTAATCTTTCGTTAAATTTAATAAAGAAACTTGCCGTCGCGCAAGAGCGTAATTTTATCCGTTGTATATATATATATATATATATATATATATATATACATACTCGCTTTGTACAGGTACACACAGAACACATAACGTCGTACATAGCGTTGGGACTTTGTCATCCTCGCAATAGAGGATGGATCGACGCGAATATACCGTATTTACCGGCGTTAAAAAAAAAAAGCACGTGGAAAACTCTTTGAGAGGCGAGATTTCGCGGCTCATTAAAAAATTCTCTTATCCGTTGGTTTTTCAAAAAGGTATACGACAAAAAAACACCTTATAACGGAAGCGTTTTATCAGTATTATGACAGTTTCGCAACGGACATGAGCAAAGAAAGCTCCCGAAGCGCTTTCGCGCGAATTTGATATTCACGCCGTTATAACCGGCGCTGCGCGACGTGTATAATTGATTATCGCTCGCGGAAAGTTCCAATTCTCGCTTCGCGTCTTCATTCAATGTCAGAACGACGACGACGAGTTGTCGCGTGAATATTGTCTAACGACGGGGGTTGATTGCGAGACGGAGATGCGCGACGGGACACGGAAAGGGAGGGAGGGAGGGAGGGAGGGAGGCAGAGGAAGAAAACGGATTAACGCAGATTATAACGCCGTGGAGAATTCGCGATACGAAAGTCGCGAATAAACTTCCCCGACCGGCCCCTCGGGGGAGAATAAGCGGCGACGTACTTCGCACCTATAAGCGTTACGCGCTGCTGCAAGAGGAAAACCGGCCGGATTATGCGCCTTGCGCGCCGAGATTCAATATTTGCCGCGTCAGCCGCGTCCTCCTCGCGTAATCACGAGCCTAATCAACAGCGACGAAATTCGATTATATACTCGCCGGGTTCTCGCCAATAGAACGTAACTAGCGTGTGATAGCTACGCCAGGTCGGCGAACGAGCCGCGTCTGGCGTTAACTGTCAGACGCGGAACCGAAGCAGCTACCAACCAAATTTATATATCCGCACGCTCGAGATCGCGCTCGAGTGACGAATAAACTGCGTTTTGCACAAAAGCGCAATAATTCGCAGCGTTAGCTACTTTCCCAAGGTTCCGTTTCGAGTTCTGTGAACTGCGAATGAGTTTGACGATGGGAAGCTGCCCGGGTTCATCCTATATGGCCGCGATAATTGCAAATTACGTTTTTAATCCCGGTAAATCCTCCCTCATCCACGCAGAATATATACAGAATATTCTCTCTCTCATACACAAACATACACACACACGGACATATGTACATACGCACACACGTTGCGCGTTTCATCATTATTCGCTTATTTCCACACTCGTGAAACGAGTGACGCATTAGTTTTTTCAAAAAAACATTATTTTCTCGTTATCAAATGACATGAAGAGAAGTTGTGTGTTTCTTGTGCCAATAAACAATTCCTGAGATGTCCGCACAACGAATGATACTTTTTTTATTTTCGTTCCGACAAGCTTGTTGCCAGCGTAAGTTGCACGCACTTAATTCAATTCGTTTGTCTAAAAAATTGTACTTTTTACGACATTAGTGTATATACGAATCGAGTGTTTTGCATCTTTTTTTTCTTCTCGATTCTACACGTTTGACGGCGTACACGTTTACATCTTGGACAAGCAATATTTAGCTTTTTGTACTAGAGTCTTCAGGCTCGTCTGTTTTCTTAAATAAATAAATAAATAAATAAATAATACGTATATTTGTTTTATTAATACAATATCCACGTTTATCAAGAGACTATTGTTTCTCGTAAATATGCAGCAACTGCACGGACTCGGTTTATGTCTCGGTTGTCGATATCCGAGTATGCAAGAATATTTGACGCGAAAATACACACGTGGCGCGCGGCGGCGCCTTAAGATATGATGCCGCGAACGAATGTCCCCTTCCGTTCAGCATCGAAATTGTCGCATCTACATAGCGTTTTCTTTCGGTTTCTCGTGTTTCAGAAGTGCATTGCTACAACATGCCGCAGGGCAGCACCGGCAAAAGCAGCGACACATACAACGCTCTGCCGGAGGAACCAGCACGATCGGGGCCGTATTTCGACAAATCGGCTTCGAAAAACGTGACCGCTCTCCTCGGAAAGACCACGTATCTCAACTGCCGTGTTAAAAATTTGGGGAACAAAACGGTGAGTGTATGACGCAACTTATATCAGCAATTTGTATGGTTACGGTTTTTTTTTTTTATGTGTTTGTACATTGAACGTAGCTAAAATATCAAATTTCTCGAAACTTCGCGCGATAGCGCACAGCTTTGTACACGCGCGCGTATAATATAAATATATAATATAAATTGGATCACAGCAGGGATATTTACGAAGGCGTTAACTGATCTAATAAGAGAAGCGTAAGATGCGTTCGCGAGTAACGATGAGAAGGAGGAGAGAAACTTTATTCCAGAAAAAGCAATCTTATACTCCTCTTGTGTTAAATATAAAAAATCTCTTTATACTTTTTAAGTCGCGCGCGTACGCGACGTTATTGCGTGACAATAATTCTCTTTCCGATAAAAGAGCAAAGGTGAAATTTTTATATTGAAAAGGAAAACGCACCTAGGAGACAGACATCGGAAGTACCGATATTAGAAGCGTAACGAACAAAGCCGACATGGCATTATATACGTCGCCGGATTAAATCCAGCAATTTGCCGGTGTGTACTCAGATCCGCCAATGACAATGCGGTGGCGAGCGCGGGGATCTCTCTCTTTCTCTTTCTCGCGATAAAGTTCCACTATTGGCGGTATACGCTGAGGTACAACACGAGAGAAATGCGATAGATGTTGTTTGTGTGTGTGTGTGTGTGTGCGCACGTTTAGAACGCTTACGTAAACACGACGGATTTTCTACGTTTCCTCGTAGAATTCTCACCCACGCGTCTGACACAAGTGAGTGAGGCAAAATATCGAGTGTCAATATTTTATCGACACAATGGGACGTCACCTGTACTGGGCTTCCCTTCGGGGAGGGATAGCGTCGAAAGTGCACTCGGGCACTGGCGCCATGCTCTCTCTCTCTCTCGACAATGCCATTGAATCGAGCGTAGGTGCCTTCGTTGTACACACACACACGTGCACGTATGTGTACTTACCTATGTGCGTACTACACTTAGTCGTTGCTTGGATGTCTGGACAATTACGGCTCCAGAAGGACCCGCGAGGCAAATAGGATTAACGCGGCTGTATTATATACGTGCGGTGTCGATAAATTCGGATTGATTTCGCACCTTAATTGGCTGATGCGCGAAAAGACAAAAGACACAGCGCGTTAAAGTCAAAAATATTTTATCAAATTAATCAAAGAGTTTTTCTCGGTCAATGTGAGTTCATGTGCCGGATGTAAGTGCGCGAAATATATACGTTTTTTAAACGTGTAAATTATTACGAGCAATAAATTATTACACGTAATAATAATTCAAACTGAATTTAATTTCGAAAATTTATATTGGGTATTTGTTTTGCATCACGTATGTATGAATTATTCATTTTTACCTCCTCTGAAATTAAAAAAATCCACGAAAAAGATATCTCGGCCAAAGGGATCGAATTTCGTACGGGAAATTCGGAAGGCTTTTCTGGCCGAGGTGTCTTTTTCGCAATGAATTTTGTAAATTTCATGAGGTAGTAAACTGTGTGGGTAATTCATACATGTGATATGTGATGCAAAACAAGCATCCAATATAAATATTCAAAATTAAATTCAATTTGAATTATTACGTATAATAATTTACACATTTGAAAAATATATTTCGCGCACGTACTTATATGGTGCACGACCCGAAAAACTTTTTGCTAATTTGATACTGTGGAAATGTAATAAACTTTGTAAATTTGTTTGAATATTTTCTGTTGCATATTCAATGTGTGTTTGTGTGCGTGCACGCATCATGTACACGTCAAAGAAAGGTGAGGAGAAGGTGTGACGGAGACAAATTCAACGTCAACAATTAGGTGCATAGTAAGTTAAGAGTGAGCAAGGAGAATATTCGACCGACCATAACTTACCTAGCCATATTTTACGCCTCTTTTTGCTCGCGTCTCGTGGGAGCGATTAGATCGCTTGGATTATTCACGATGGCTTCCTACTGAGTCATAGTTACCGAGACATATGAAAGAGCTGGTATTGTTGGCTCGTATGATTTTCGCACATGTGCGCGCCGAACTGTGTAATTCGTTGTTCTACGCTCTACTGAAATCAAAGATTAATTATGTTTGTGTGTATATAATATAATCCACACGTATCTATAATGTAATATGTTCACATAATGTTGTTTTCTAATGAAAAAGGTGATGTGAACTATATTTTATTCATATAATAATCTTGTGGAAAATTACACGTTTCTCTGATAAATTGCAGATTGCGCAAAACGCGCGCGGATTAACAAACTAAAATAAAATTTTTTCACGGTGTAAAGTTTTTAAACGATTCGTCGCATTTTCCAATCTTACAAAAGCCAAAGGATACTTGAGAAACGTTGAAACGCAATACTTTGTAACAATTGAATTGGTAATGCTCGTCGGTTTATACAGCGATGCAGCTGCTCAGTCGAATAGCAAGAAAGGTAGGGAAACGTTACTTCGCTATTGGAATCGACCGACTTTCGCATGCGACGTTTAGATTTATCGTTCGTGTGTGAAACTCGGGGAGAATCATACAGCAACGGGGGCAGGATTTATTGGGCAAATGTATGTATGTATATATATATATATATATATATATACACACACACACACGCCCGTCTCCGAGAGAAAGAGAGAAAGGAAGGTTCGCGACACATCGAGGTCCTGTTGCGGGCAAGTTCCGTGTTGTTTTACTTAATCTATGAATCGTCAAGCGCCGCGGAGAGTTCGAAGTTCAAAAAGAGGCCCGGGAATTCATTCATATGTATGTCGCGTAACCCAGTTTAGATCCAATTCTGCACTGAGAGGGTATGGGGCGTTTGCCTCCAAACTTGTACGCTTCTGGACACCGGCCGGCATTCGCGAATATGCACTAACGATCTCTCAACAAACGCGTTCTCTCTCCGCGAGAAGTGCTCTCCAAAAATTACCGACCGGCAATCGAGAGAGTTGGCGTAATTAATCTACAAATAGAAAGCGTTTTCGATAACGCTCGCGCAATGATTTCACTATGTTACTATTGTTCGTAAGAATTTCTTTGTACATCTTCGATCAAATGACATTTTTAGAAATGTGTGTGGAATCTCATAATTTTTGTAATTAAATTTCACGAGTTTTTCTTTTTTGTTTTTCTTTTTTTTTAATACCCGTTCCTTACGAGTAAATACGTACTGTTTAAATTTCTGGGAAAACAGCTTGTGTCAATTCGACATCGGCAATATTCGCGTGCGCGCGTTCATTTTGTCGATTAATTGGCCCGCTGTCGAAGTCGCGACCAAGTATTTGATTTTCTAAATCGTGTTTACTATTAGCGCTCGCGAAACCCCATCGATGATTACGATTTGATCCAGGAATATACGGGAAATCTCGAGTTGAATCGAAACTGCACGGGAAGCCCTGCACTTGGTTAGAGCTTAATTAAATTCAACGCTTAAATGTCTATTGGAAGGAGTACAATCACGAATAGACGAGAAACTCCCGGGCACGCTTCTCCCCCTCGAAAAGTTAAATTAAAATAAATAACTCCGCTGTTCGATTATCGATAAGACGCACTTCGCTTAATATGACTTGCGCATTAAAAAAAAAAAAAAAAAAAAAGAAAGAAAGATTAAAAAAAGATTGAGGGGGAGAACTTCACGATGGATTCTTACGGCTCTCTTCGGAAGAACAAATGCTTGAAGGAAAATTTCCCTTTCTCGTTGCAACGACCGGACCAATAGAATCGATTCGATATAGACGGGACGATTATCGCTGTGCCCGCCGGTTGACTTACATTAATTCGAGATCAAAGCCTTCAACGAGCCGGAGCGAAGTGCTCTTGGCCGGCGAAGGAAGATCTTCTTAAAATTCGAGAAATATCCGAGCAGGACAAAATCGTTACACAGGGAGACAAAATCCTTTGTAACACCGCGAAAGCTTATAATGAGTGGATAAAGGACGGCGCGAGCCTCCACTTATCGAGATTTTATCGATACGCTCGCGGGACAAGGGCCCGAAGAAGATGAGCCTCGATGACCGTTACTCTCCTGGAAATGCAACTTAACTCTTTACGCTCCAATTACTCTCGCCAGCCGAGTTTGCCGCTCCTTTCGTTTGTCATGCATATTGACGAGCATATTTCTTTTTAATTATCAGCAAAGATTCTTCACGAAGTTTTTTGATAAATACGGATAAATGATAATTAACGTGAATTATTTTGACATCCGCACAATCAACCGAGAAATTCGCCGATCTCGATTTGTTGTCTTTGACGAAACAAAAAAATGGTTTCCCCGTCACAGTTGTTTTTTAGCTACAAAAAAAAAAATGTAGATCTTGTAGCTACACGTTTAGCTTGTAGGTACACGTTGCTCGTGCAATACGATCGAAAATTTAGCCGCCAGATTTTAGATTCTAACCGGAAAAGCTAATGTTGTTTTTTCATTGTGTGTTCTTTTTTTTTTTTACACACGATTGCAACTTTTAGAGTCTGCTTTTTTTTCATTCTCGATCCTATTTTTGACATTTTTTATTTTTTTCGATAGAATTTTTATGTTGCGACTCGACAGTTTGTATGTCGCTGTATAATCTGCGTAACTTTCCGATGAACCATCCACTACTCTGTTCGCATTGTACATTGTGATCAGTTTTGGATGCATCACGCCGACCAACGTTACTTTCTGCGTGTATGTACACATTCAACTGACCTCATGTCGTCAACCCGCTCGCTACGCAAGAGCCACACCGACATTGTCAGGCAGCGCACACGGGGGTTGCTGTCGACGTGATGCGAAAGACGAGCGAGCGCGCTCGCGAATACCCCCGGTTCAAATGGACGGTAACGAAAAAGAGAGAGCTTCGATTCTATTGCGCATCCAGCATCTTTGACCGTTGCGGACAGTCGTTCGCAACGAACAATCGTCCTCGATCCTTTTACGCGGACGTACATTGATCGCGAAGAGTGCCCTCGAGCTAAAAAGACGTGTCGCGCTCAACAATAGTTTTTTTTCTATTGACCTTATCGTGATCGGAAT